TTTGGAAGAGATAAATAAAATTGATAAACACCTAGCAAGATTGACAAAGATGAAGAGAAGATGTAAATGACCAACATTAGGCAGAAAAGAGGGGTTCTAACTATAGAACCTACAGACATTAAAAGCTTAATAAGGGAATAATATGAACAAGTCTATCCAAAATTCAATAACTTAAATGTTCTAATTCCTTGAAAAACACAAAGAAGACTCGCCCACTATAAAATAGATGATTTAAGTAGTTTTATATTAAAGAAATGGAATTCATAGTTTAAAACATGCTGAAAAGGAAATCTCCAGGCATAGATGTCTTCCTTGGGTAATTATACCAAACTTTTAAAGATGAAATAACATGAGTTTTACATAAACTATTCCAGAAAACAAAAGTGGAGAGAACACGTCCCAGCTCATTTTACAAAGCCAGCATTATGCTGATATCAAAGCCAAAGACGGTACAAAGAAGGAAAACTACAGACCAATTCTCCTTCTGAAGACAAAAGTTTACAACAAATATCAGTAAAACACAGCTATTAATACATAAAAAGAAAGATACATTACAACTAGGTGTGGTTTATTCAGCAGATGCAAGCCTGGTTCAATATTTGAAAATCAACCAATGTTATCTGCAATTTTGACAGACTGAAGAAAAAATAAAACACCACAGGATCATACCAGTTGATGCAGCAAAAGCATTTGACCAGATCAAACATCCATTTATAATCATAACTCTCAGAAAACTAGAGCTAGAAGAAAACTTTCTCAACCTAAAAAACGAGGAACTACAAATTAAAGCTAACATCACACTTAATGACTAAAGTCTAAATGCTTTTCCCCTAAAATCAGGACCAAGGTAAAGGTGTCTGATCTTCCCACTACTGTTCAACATCGTACTGGGAATCCTGGACATTACAATAATGTAAGAAAAGAAAAGCCATGCAAATTAGAAAGGAAAAAATAAGTCTATCCTTATTTGCAGATTGCATGGTTGTCTACATAGAAAATCCCAAGGAATCTAAAAAAAAAAACAAAAAAATCCTAAAACTAGTAAGTGAGTAAAGCAAGATCACTGAATGCAAAGTCAACACATAAATATCAACCATATTACATATTAGCCAAAAGCAGTTGGAAACTGAAATAAAAAACATAAGCTTACTTACAATAGCTCCAAAAAAGCGAAACAAATCTAACAATGTTCCTCTTTTTAAGGCCATAGCTCCTGTTGGGATGGTCTTTTTTGCCAGGTTCTGGTAACATTTCCTTCCCCGATGTCAACCCTGGCAGTGATAATGACTCCAGTGTCACCAGTCACAGGGCGCCTCACCAACTCTGCCCAGGCTTTGTAAAAGTCCCTTTTATTGGATGTCTTTAAGTGTCCCATATGTTTCTTTTTTTTTTCCTTTTTCTTTCTTTTTTTTTTTTTTTTTCCCAGACGGAGTCTCGCTCTGTTGCCCAGGCTGGAGTGCGGTGGCGCAATCTGGGCTCGCTGCAAGCTCCGCCTCCCGGGTTCACACCATTCTCCTGCCTCAGCCTCCGGAGGAGCTGGGACCACAAGCGCCGCCACCACACCCGGCTAATTCTTGTTTTTGTTTTCTTAGTGGAGACGGGGATTCACCGTATTACCCAGGATGGTCTCCATCTCTTGACCTCGTGATCCGCCCACCTCGGCCTCCCAAAGTGCTGGGATTATAGGCGGGAGCCACCGCGCCCGGCCTAAGTATCCCATTGTTTCTTAACAATTGACTATGCCAAAGTGAGGATTTTTATCTTTTATTCTTTGTTATTATGCCAGCATCTACAATTATGCCCATCACACAGCAGGTTTTCAATAAGTGTCTGTAGAATGAATATATGTTTGGACCACTTTCTGTCCATTAAAACATGAATAGTAATTCTTTAAGCATTTTTTTAAAGAAATTTATGGTGCACCATTTGATGTTTAACCTTAAGCATTTCTATTAATCGGTTACCAAAAATGCATGCTATCTGGTGTTGGAGTGGATGTGAAGAAACGGCATAAACTGATATAGCCTCTTTGAGGACTATTTGTTAGCATCTGTAACATGTTCATTTGTACACATTTTAACGGCACAATTCTATTTTGGCGCTTGTGCAAAGAAATAATCTCACAGATATCAAAAGATGCAAGAACAATGCTATTTACCACATATTATTTATAATAGTGAAAACTGGAAACAAACTAAACATCCATCACAAAGAATTGATTAAATAAACATGATATACACTTAACAATGCAGTTAAGGAACAGAATGATTTCATTCTCTATAGCTTGACCAGATGACTCCACTAGGAGACAACTTCACATGTTAAAAGCAAGTTGTAAAGAAGCTGTAACCATGTTTTTAAAAATGCATTGTTTGCTGTAGTCTAAAGTCTAGAGTTAGGCATCAGTGGACATTGGTTGTACTTGGGAGGTGGGCTGGAGATTAGAAGGGGGAGTTACATTATAGCTTTATGGGCTGCTATGTTTTAATCAAATTTAGTGTCTAAATTTTTTTTAAAGAAACGTTTAAATATATTTACGTTAAATAATAAACAGGGGAGTCCGGACGCGGTGGTTCACTCCTGTAATCCCAGCACTTTGGGAGGCAGAGGTGGGCGGATCACCTGAGGTCAGGAGTTCGAGACCAGCCTGGCCAACATGGTGAAACCCCATCTCTACTAAAAATACAAAAAATTAGCAGGGCGTGGTGGCGCGCGCCTGTAATCCCAGCTACTCGGGGGAGGCTGAGGCAGGAAAATCTCTTGAACCTGGGAGGCGGAGGTTGCAGTGAGCCGAGATCGCCGCATTGCACTCCAGCTTGGGCAACAAGAGCGAAATTCGGCTCATTTAACAGCCTTGCTCAGTACAGAACTTAAGGAGGATAAAATAACAAGTTGCCAAGTTGCCAAGCTTATTACAAAGCGAACAAATATGGTTGAGTTGACTGTTTATTATACTGTTACCTTTAGCCTTCGCATTAGAAGTTCAAGGATTTTTATATGGAAAACTGCATTTAATAAAACAGAAGCAAGGGATTTGAGTATTAATAAGCCAATTAAGTTGTTTATAAAAAAATAAGTCTTTTTTTATTATTATTTTGTCCTTCCCCCAAAAAAGCACACATGATACCGAGTAAGCTTCATTTTTGCACAGACGGAAAATTCCGTCCGATGAACGGGCACTTCCGCCGGAAACGATCCCAGGCAGGGAGACCAGTTCCTTTCCCGCTGTCCCGGGACTTTGCCTGGAAATTGCCTGAAGACTTCGGACCGCAAGGAACGGACCCCGCCCGAACCCCAGCCCACCGGGCCCCCAGACCTCGCAGAGCGAAGCCGGGGGACACGCCCGGTCGCGGGCGTTTGGGGAAGCCCTCACTCTTGGCAGAGCCAGGCGGGGGGCGCGCGGAGGGAGCGGCGGGGCAGGGCGCTCGCGGCAGCCGCTCCGCGAGGTACCCCGGCAGGCTGGAGCCACGCGGGTCCGGGAGCGGCTTCGCCCCGCTAAGCACCCCGAAGCCGGGCTCCTGTGTGCCCCGCCAAGACCCAGAGGTCAGGGCCCCTGTCCTCGCGCCGCGCCACCTGGGGATGTGCCCTCCCCCACGTCCCCCGGGAAGGTTGCTGGGAAGCAAAGCTTCACGCGTGTGTTCACCCGGATCGCACTGACTTCGTGACCAATCCTCGGGTGAATAGGTTCTACTATTTACATTTATCATCTCACGGAAGAAAGTATTGATGTTACGGAATAATATTGAGCGGATAAATGCTCAATATGTATAATTTAGTAAAAAGATGTTCCCACGATATTATGACCGTATTTCCCTGGTTTGGTTAAAAAAAATCAACAGGTGCTCATGTAAGGTTTAAGTGGGGACATCTCTGGGAGATCCATGATTTGCTTGATAGCCATTTTTCTTTTCTTTTTCTTTTTTTTTTTTGGCGGGGGGGGACGGAGTTCCGGGTTCAAGCAATTCTCCTGCCTCAGACTCCCGAGTAGCTGGGACTACAGGCGCGCGCCACCACACCTGGCTATTTTTTTTTCTATTTTAATAGAGTCGGGGTTTCACCGTGTTGCGCAGGCTGGTAGCAAACTCAGGCAATCCGCTTGCACTGGCCTCCCAAAGTGCTGGGATTACAGGCGTGAGACACCGCGCCCGGCCATAGCCATTTTTTCTCGTTTTGCGTTGTGCGTATTTTCATTTATTATGTATTTTTGAAGGTGTGTGTTTTTCTTTTCTTTTGTTCCCCTTTCCTGAAACCCTGTTGGTCAGGGTCACAGGTACTATTCTTCTATAGTAATGCTGTGCTACGTGTGCAATCACATTTCACAGCCTTCTTCCCAAGACAGATTTGTATGTACCTTGACATCTAGGAGCTGCTTTGAGTTGAAAAGGCAAATTGATGGAGGGAGTATCCTTGTTTTTCTTTCTTTCTTCCTTTGTATTGAAAAATGTGTAAGCACCCAGAAACGTAGGAAACGGTAAAATGAGCATCTGTCTATAGTCATGCATGTCCTTGATGTAAGAAAAGTTAACCTTTTGCCATATTCGCTTTGTTAGTTTTTGCTGAAAAATTGTAAAGTGAATTAACTATCCTGTCAATGTTAAATGCTTCCCTGTGCATGTCTTTATAAAAACTAGTATTTTCCAATATAATTCCACTTAACAGTTAAGCATAACGGCAATGTTCTTTAATATTTATAATTGCCAGTACACATCCAAATTTCTCAAATTGTTTCCAACGTATTTGGCAGCTGTTTTTCCAATCGGGATTTGATGGAGAACCACGCACTGTATTTGCCAGCAAAGTTCAAACTTCCCCGATAACTTCTAGGGGCTCTGGCTGAACCTGGGCAGGCGAGGCTGTCAGGGACGTCTTCCAGTCATCCAATAGAGAAAACGCTGCAAAGTAAGTCGTGGCGTGGAGGTTTCTGGGAAACGTAGTCTTCAATCCTGATCGCTCGAGCGCCACACTAGGAACGGGTCCTCTGGATGACATCTGCGCATGCGCAAGCTTAGCTCGTTGCTTCCCGCCTGGCTCGGGCAGGGAGGTGGTCCCGGGGCCTTTGGGTGTCGCGAGTCGGGAAGGTGCGCACGTGAAGTGGGACGCGGGGAGACCGGGTCTCTCCACAGCCTGTCAACTTCTAGTGAGAATTGGGCTTGTGATTCAGAGGGTGGGAACGGGAAGCCAGGGTGGACCCCAGGGGCGACCCCCCCATGCTAGAGGTCCCGGGGACGCAGGTGCGGCTGCACCCCCTTTAGGAACAGGTGCTCAGTGCGAACCTTGAGAAAAGCCCATGCCCGCTGCGGCAGAGGAGAGCCCGTTTATAAACGTTGACCAAAGTGCCAGAACTCGTGGGCGCCAGGTCTGTGGCAAGACCCCGAGGTGTGGAGAGCGAAAGAGCTGGGTAAATTCCAGCTGTGTCACCTGTAAGCGGGGGCGAGGGCAGGAACCGGGTAAGAGGTTTCTCGCCTGAAAATGACGGTGTTAATGCCTGCTTCATGGCGTTGTTTTGAAACTTAGTTAAGTCATACCTGTAAAGCAAACAGCCAAGTGCAGTTACTAAACCCTGAGTGAGTGACAGCTGCTGCTGTATTTAGAAGACACTTTGTTCTTTTCATTGGATGACTCACCTAAACCTCACAAGCACTCTGAGGCCGGTATAGCCGTCTGCATTAAAAATAACAGCCGAGGTTCAGGTTGGTGGAGCAGTGCGCCCAGGTCACAAGCTAGCAGTGAGGAAATTTAGGTTCAAGGACAGGTGTGATTTATTTCCGATCTCAGGTGCTGTCGAATATCACACCTGCCTAAAACCAGTCCTGCAGTCTTTACGGCACTGAGCAGTGACACGACCCAAAATACACAGGGATATAATGGGAAGTGAATGTGGTTAGAACCTTACCTTGTGTCAGATATATTTTAGGCTTTCTGGTAGGGTCTGGTCAGATCCCTTGGGTCACACGAAGGCTCTTAGCCACTCACTACCAAGCTGTCTATGTTTTCAGTCCAATGTATTGAATTCCAGAGGGTCAGGTTTATGTCCCTAAAATTCGTTTCCCGGGCCCTTGGTTCCAGCTTCCAAGAAATAATTTCACAGGAAAGCAAAGCAGCTCTTGCGAATTAGGAAGCAGGGGGCCCCTGGGAACAGGAATCTTTCCCGGAAAGAGAGCACCCCTCTGACCTTACTACTCTCCAGAGCTTCGGAGCAGAGGCAGAAGAGCCCAGACAGCAGGAAGCACAGCCAGAAACAGTGCCAGAATGAGCCGGATCTGGTGATGTCACTATCTCTGGAAACCACAAGCATCTGTGACAGTGGAATGCCTGAACCTGCTTTGAGAAGACCAAGGGGAGACAGGAGGCCACTTCAATGGAGAGCTTGTGGGGAGGTCTATGGGTAAGAGGTAAGCAGGCAGAGGGTGGAAATCCTGTTTCCTCCATCTCTAAAAACTCCCACTCTTGAGAGACACTGCACTGCTCTCACACCTGTCCATAACCACATGTGACACTAGTCACACTAGTCTTGATATCTTAACCTCACAGAATTCCACAGTGATGGTTCACGAAAGGTATTTATGGTCATCTACTTGTGACTCATTTGAAACTATTAAGAGATTGGACCTGCGAGTGTCCGTGAATTATCCAGACCCACTTAGTTTGTGTCAGATCCACGAGTCAAACACAGTGCCATTTAGTCTGTCACAGGTCCAGGTCATCCATGTTTTCGTAGCTTGTTCTTTTGTATTGATGGATAGTGATCTATTGTCTTTTCCTTGTAATGAAGAGGTAAAAGTTTTAGTTCACACAATACCAGAGAAAATTTCACTGGTGTCTGTATTACAAAAGTGGAAATAACCCTAAAAATGAAAGTAAATTTGAGCTTTGGTAGTCAGATAATCTTTTTCATAGTCTTATGTTAGACAGCAAATCTTTCCCGGATATCAAACTCTAAGAAAATTGCCATAGTTACCACCCTACTAGCAACTTAGTTTTGGAGAACCTGCCCACTTTCATCACATTTATATTCTTATTCTAAATTGACCCAATTTTCCATTTATCAAAATGATTATATTGGCTTCTAGAATTCAAGCCAAAGGGGAAAGCAATGTTAGTAGTCCTTATTCTACTGACTCTTTTTTTTCCTTTTTTCTTTTTTGTTTTTTCTTTTTCTTTTTTCTTTTTTTTTTTTTTTTTTTGAGACCGAGTCTGGCTCTGTGGCCCAGGCTGGAGTGCAGTGGCGCGATCTCAGCTCACTGCAAGCTCCAGCTCCCGGGTTCACGCCATTCTCCTGCCTCAGCCTCCCGAGTAGCTGGGACTACAGGCGCCCGCCACCACGCCCGGCTAATTTTTTGTATTTTTAGTAGAGATGGGGTTTCACCTTGTTAGCCAGGATGGTCTCGATCTCCTGACCTCATGATCCGCCCGTCTCGGCCTCCCAAAGTGCTGGGATTACAGGCTTGAGCCACCGCGCCCGGCCTTCTTTTTTTTTTTTTTTTTTTTTTGAGACAAGGTCTCGCTCTGTCACCCAGGCTGGAGTGCAGGCATGATCACTGCTCACTGCAACGTCTGCTTCCCAGGCTCAAGTGATTTTCGTGAATCAGCTTCCCAAGGAGTCAGGACCACAGGCAGATGCCAACATGCTTGGATAATTTTTGTATTTTTAGTAGAGATGGGGTTTTGCCACCTTGGCCAGGCTGGTGTTGAACTGCTGTTCTCAAGTAATCTGCCTGCCTCAGCCTCCCAAACTGCTGGGATTACAGGCATAAGCCACCACACCCAGCCCTGACTTACTCTTGAAGTCATGGGTTTATGTCCAGTGCCCCTCTCTCAAACTGGTTTTTAAACCTTTGACCACTCATATATATCAGGACCTCTACTTAGTTATTGCATATTATATGGTGCAAAGCATCTTGTAAACAGGGATTCATGATAGACTTTTTCTTTTAAGTCAGATCACTGATTCTAGTCTGCAATTTATCAAGATGAGGTGATGAGTTATTTAAAGATTTTTTCTTAGGTACTAAAGAATTAAAGTAGATGAAAATATACCAATATTATTAGGGTTTAGTGAGAATCACTGAAGCTGAGTGGCTAGACTCTTAGTTCTAAAAAAAAAAAAAAACTAACAGTGATTAGATATATTTTTAACTAAAATGTAAGCTTGAAAGCGGTGTGCTAAAGTCAAATTATGTGGTCTAAGCCACCCTCTGTATAGCAACTTTAATTCTACTTTCTGTGCTTCCATGCTTTTTTCCGTGTAACTGTTTGAAAACCTCAAACACCTTTGGTCTAATTCTGCACTATTCCTGGGAATCCTTTCTCTTTGGTGTATTGACCTAATTTTATATTCTAATGTACTTTTTCCTCTCAGACACAATAACCAACTATTCAAAGATGCCATCTAATGCACTATGCCACTAAGTACTGTGGCCAGAGAGTGAGTTTAAGTGTAATAAATTATCTTAAAATTGAAAAGAGCTTAAGCCAGAGAAAACAAATATTATGTCTTAAATAGAGGCATGGATTAAACCAACTTGTGAATGGTCAAGGCAACTTATAAAAATGCTTTAAGACACATCAAGACTGACTTGAATCATTTAAGGTAGGCAGAGATGTAACACTATGTGAACAGAAGAGTTATAAACACATATAAACACACTAGTCCCTTTTTTTTTTTTTTTTTTTTTTTGAGACAGAGTCTTGCTCTGTCGCCCAGGCTGGAGTGCACTGGCGTGATCTCAGCTCACTGCAACCTCCGCCTCCCAGGTTCAAGCCGTTCTCCTGCCTCAGCCTCCAAAGTAGCTGGGATTACAGGTGTGTGCCACCACGCCCAGCTAATTTTTGTATTTTTAGTAGAGACGAGGTTTTGCCATGTTGGTCAGGCTAGTCTCAAACTCCTGACCTCATGATCCACCCACCTTGGCCTCCCGAAGTACCAGGATTACAGGCATGAGCCACTGTGCCAGGCCCACTAGTCACATTTTAATTAAAATAGTTTATTAGGTTTTCTTTTAATGTCAGCATGAGAAATAAAAACCACCTACATTGTAGCATTTATGTTTTGAAAATAAAACTGCAGTCAATACTTCAATCTCTAAGCTCTGCACTCCATAAATGATAATTTTTTTAGGAGGTAAGGTTGCTAAGGTTTATGAGCATAAAATATGATACCTGCCTCCAGGTTAACATGCGGGATAACAAAATGTATTAGATCATCTACTACTATTAAGGTCCAATTCCTTCGAATTTGTTACATGTGCATTAAAATTGATCCTATTCTTTATCACATCTCTGGAAAATAATTTTTGGTGATCAATGCAGATAAAAGCCCTGCAAAGAACTACTTCAAAAGAGAAAAGGGCACTTTATAAAAATACAACAATTCCAAAAGGCTTAGTGTAATTTTAAGCTTTGATACTTGTAGAAGTGTCAATGCTACAAATATTTACAAAGCATCATTGAAAGGTTTGTTATATTTCTTTTTTCTTTTTTTTTTTGAAACAGAGTCTCGCTCTGTTGCCCAGGCTGGAGTGCAGTGGCGTGATCTCGGCTCACTGCAAGCTCCGCCTCCCGGGTTCACGCCATTCTCCTGCCTCAGCCTCCTGAGTAGCTGGGACTACAGTTGCCCGCCACCACATCCGTATAATTTTTTTGTATTTTTATTAGAGACGGGGCTTCACTGTGTTAGCCATGATGGTCACAATCTCCTGACCTCGTGATCCGCCTGCCTCAGCCTCCCAAAGTGCTGGGATTACACGCATGAGTCACCACGCCGACCCCCTCTTTCTTTTACATGTATTTAGTTTTACCATTTTTTAAAGTGACAGGGTCTCAGTATGTTGCCAAGGCTGGAGTGTAATGGCTATTTCCAGGCACAATCACAGTGCACTGCAGCCTCCTATGCTAGGCTTTGAGTGATCCTGCCGCTTAAGCCTTATGAGTAGCTGGGACTACAGGCATGCCTAGCTCCTGAATATTAACCCTTTAATTTTTTGTTTCAATCCTTCTTGAAGATAGCAGATATTGATGAGACAAAAAGTTAAATGCTTAATATTCAAATTCTGCAAAATGAAGCCAAAGGTACACACCTATAGTCCCAGCTAGTTGGTAGGCTGACATGGGAGGATTGCTTGAGGCCAGGATTTCCAGGCTGTGGTATGCTATGACTGTGCCACTGAATAATCATTGCACTGTAGATTGGGCAACATACTGACACAACATCTATTTAAAAAAATGAATAAGAAATACAATTAAACTTTCCAATGATATTTTGTAAAGGTTTATAGCATGTATATGTATGCTGCAGTGCTCTGGAGGGCACAAGCACACTATGTTAAAGCTAAAAACTGTCCTGAAACTTTCAGGACACCTCATAGTTTATTTTTTATTACCACTGCGTCACCATATTGCTTGGCACTGTGAAAATATCTTTTCATACCTTTATTTAAAAAATAAAATTTATCAGCAAATAAGAACCATCATATTTCACAAGAAATACACCATAGACCCTAATAAAAGTAGATAATCAATAACCAGCATTTTCTCTTTTTATGACACCAAACATGCTAACTGCTAATAAGAAGTGCCTACAGAGGATATGAATGGCAAACGTTATCCAGAAGCTTTTCCTTAAAATGATTGCCGGTAACTAGTAGCTTCGATTGTAAGAGTAGGAAGGAAGAGCCCTTTCAGTACCTGGCAATGCTGCACCTGCTCTTAGTGGCTTTCTGACTTGTTGAGAGTCCTATGTTTTAATGGTAATATGCATCGATGCTAAATGCATATGCAGCAATATTGGGGGAAAGAAAAATACGAAAGAAACAGAAAAGTTATCTTTAAAATCTAAAAATTTAAACCATTGTTTTAAAACCCTTACATAGTTCACTGCTGTCAGCCTATATACTAAGCAAATATCTGTGCATGGGCTAGAAGGAGCCTTCACTTTGGAGTGGCTTTTATTGCTGAGACCAGCTCGGTTGGGGAGACCCTAACACAGCGGCACTAGAGGAATTAAAGACACACACACAGAAATATAGAGGTGTGAAGTGGGAAATCAGGGGTCTCACAACCTTCAGAGCTGAGAGCCCCAAACAGAGATTTACCCACGTATTTATTAACAGCAATCCAGTCATTAGCATTGTTTCTATAGATATTCAATTAACTAAAAGTATCCCTTATGGGAAACGAAGGGATGGGCCAAAATAAAGGGATGGGTTTGGCTAGTTATCTGCAGCAGGAGCATGTCCTTAAGGCACAGATTGCTCATGCTATTGTTTGTGGTTTAAGAACGCCTTTAAGCAGTTTTCCACCCAGGGTGGGCCAGGTGTTCCTTGCCCTCATTCCGGTAAACCCACAACCTTCCAGCGTGGGCGTTATGGCCATCACGAACATGTCACAGTGCTGC